AGATTTGCCCCACATTCCCGTTCGCATTCCCCTCTCCCGAGCCTCCTCACCTGGGGAAAAGCACTAAAAATTCACCTGGTTATTTATACTTTCACACCTTAGCTCAGCTTGTGAATGAATTGCCCTCAGGTAGATATTCCCTGGTGGCATCTTGTGGTAGGAAGAGGGCTACAAGGAGAGCCACTTGAAATGACCAGAAAATGGAACTTCTCTTGCTCTGCTGAATTTGATGAGGTTAGATGCATAATGTACATACAAAACACCTTTTCTAGCTGTTTCGTTATTACTATTAGAATTCCCTGCCCTCATTTTGGTCATATTTTTTTTACTTGAAATAACCAAAACATGGGACTTCTCTTGGCCTGGTGCATTTGATTAGGTTGAATGCATAATGTACCTGCAGTATACCTTCACAGTTTTCTTTGTTTTGTGCGAATTGTGATTTTCACATACTGGGCCCCCTCCCCTTCCCAACTCTTCCGGTAGTATTTTACTTAAAATGACCAGAAAATAGAACTACACTTACCCTGCTGAATTTGATGAGGTTTATAGATGCATAATGTGCTTAGCGTGAATTCAACCTTATAAGCTTCAGAGAGTGAATTATATTGATATGAAAGCAAGAATAAGACTAACGTTGGATCATAATTCATTTTAACATCAACTAGCAGATAAGAAACGTCACACATAGTCAAAATGTTAGAGGCACAGAAACTAATTCACCTCATCAAGCACAAACAACATGTTCACATCAGCACTAGATAGCAAGATTACAGGTTAACGCTCTTTGACTCAGCTCAGCTGGGATCGAGAGGTGCTGCTTTCAGTTCTGCCATGAAATTCCTTCCGTGTAATTACTTGATTTCAGTCTGGGATTTCATCCAATTTTGAATTTCTTTTTACATGTTTTTAATTTGAATTGAAATTGTTGACAAATATCTAGGATGAACGACTAAGAAAAGTGAAAGGTTTTAGGTGTGGTGGGGATTTTGTGTAAATTTCTTTGGAGGGGGGGGGGGGGTAATGTACCCTGTGGATTTTGCTGATATCATTCCCACTTGAAATTAGGTAATTAGGTACGATGGGCCGTTTTTATTATTTATATTATTATTATTATGACTATTATTACTTTTAACTACTATTATTACTATTATAACTATTTTTTCAGAAAGGGGGGGGGGGGGGTTCTCCTGGACCTTTGTAGCTGAGCCCTTTTCTCCAGCTCCTGATTTTCCTGTCTCATACCTGTCAGCTGCCTGCCTTCTGCATTCCCTCTTTGTAGTATGTCCTTGCCTGAGATTAATGGATCCACCGTTCTCAGTTACAGGGTTAGACCTTGGGCCAGTCTGCAAGATGGCTGAGACGAGCACAGCCTTCTTGCATCTGGCATCGGATATCTTGATCGTTAGGCAATTTCTAGAGAGCATGTTTACATGTGATTCAAGTAGTTTAGTATGCAGCTATTTGCTTTATGCTCTTTCTTGTCGTAGCAATTATTTGTTTGTTTATCCAATAGTAATACCCAAGTTCAAAACAATTCAATGCAGGCTTGTTAATGGTGTAAAGGTATGATTAAATTTTTAGGGATCTAGATGGCTGTAAAGCCAACCCAATTGAAAAGATGACTGAGGATTTATTGCTTTGAATGGGTTTTGAACAGTTTGTTTGTCTTTATATAATTGAGTGATGATACAGTGAAATTTGTCAAGTTTGCTAACTTTCTTTTTTATCCTTTTTTTATCCATTTCTGTTTAATAGTCAAATATCCAGCCAACTATTTTTATGAGCTACAAGTTGGAGACTGGAAAACTTGCCACTGATTTTCATTGTTTCCTTAAAATGGCGATATGGTTGACAGAAATCCATTTTTCTACAATCTCAGTCTGTTGCTTGCTAGAAACCCATATTAAGGGACAAAAGGATTGCATAAAGTGATGCTTAATTTAAGTCATTCTACAGCTTTATGCCATAGTACTCAACCTACACGTTTAATGCATGTATGCAGATGGGCAACACTTCACTGACTTGCCACCTCAGGTTACCTTGTTGTGGCTTTTTGTGTGGGAGCATCTATTGCCCTGTTCATATCTGCCACAAATCCCTAAAAACAGCCGCAAAATTTTGCTGCTTTTATGGATGTATGCTACCAAAAGTGGCAGATTATGAATGGAAACCACCAAATAGTGGGTTTGTTTCCTGCTTTTTCTGGCTTTTTAAGAGCTTTTTATACCAGGTTAAAACCTAGGAAACATTGGGTATTTTTACTGATACCTGGCAGATAGAAACGATATCCAATTCATGGCTTTTGCGGTGGAGAATAGTTTTGAGTTGGAGAGTATGGCCTTTCACCACAATACTCCTTGCATGCTTGGTAACTGCGATGCAAGACAGACAGTTGTTGGTGATTAGTGTGAAAGGCATTTGATTACCGTTTGAATTCAATGTTTACAGTGTATATCAACAGGGGCGTATGAGGGAATTAGGCAATATCTAAGTATTATTGCAGTATTGCCTCCACAATGCAAACAATGACGAGTTGAAATTGCTAACCGATGCTTGTTATCAATTATGTGGTATTCGCAGATATGAACAGGTTTATTCCAGGTGAACCTGATACCTCCAGGATGTAGGTCAATGGAACTCTTCCTGTAAAGCAACTCCTTTTTTGACAGCAATCGCTGTATTCTACTCGGGCAGATGTGGCCCTTGTAGGAACTGACCGTAAAGTTTCTCGTTCTGCGTACTATTGATTTCCAACGCGATACAGGGGTGGACTCGGTGTAGCAATCCCATTTGAATAAGTTATCATGGTACAATCTTTGTTGTGATATTCACAAGTAGGCTAATTTGTTTTGATGTAAATTTGTTCAATACATGGTCAACGTCAGAAGATGTCGTGACCTACTACAAATCTGCCCAATCTTGTTTATTGCAACCCCACAAGTCTTTTTTACCTCTCTTTTTTAGAAGAAAGACAAGAGCTTGTTTATGTTTACATGGATTTCTTTTTTAAATCTCAAATCTCTTAGCTTAAATAAACATTGCATGAAAGAATTGATGACAAATTGGTGATATAATGAAGGCCCTGATGAAGGGAAATCTTTGTTAGAAAACGTAATTGACTGATTTCCAAATATTTTACTTCTACAAATTTTAATACGAGTATGATACTCGTATTAAATTTGTTGAAGGTCAAGATTAACATGTTATAAACATTGATCAAAATCATCAAACATAGGTTTGTAAATATATCAACTGTGCAATGTGGTTAAGTATGAAGAAGTGTGGTTATCTTCTACATTCTTGTTATTTTTTCATTTTTGTCTAAATAACTCTCAAGAAATGTATTACCATATTGTTATTTTTAAGGGTTGAAATCCAGAATTATGTGTTTTTTCAATTGAATTAATTAAAGTCAATGTACATATCATCTTAATTTTGATACCTTTACGGTAATTTTCAAGTTTTACTATTTTTAACAATGTACTTAGAACAATAGTATATAAAATATTTCAGAAAGACCCTTTACATTTTTACAAAGTCAGAATTCTTGCATATTTTTACATCAGAGAATGATGGAAGACAAGACTTGAAAGTTTGTTTGCAGTCATGACCTCAACAGGTTCCCCTGATACAAACATTGTTGACTGAATATCATGCTTCCAATGTTCATGTGGTATCATACCAGCGAAAATAGCTTCAAGGACACTCGCAAAAAAATAGATGCAATTTCCCCATCATTAACTCATCAACTTCGATGGCGCTGCATGGGCCCAGCCATTTACATGCAACCGGAGTTGGTTATGAAAGAAGCGGGGGGGGGGGGGGGGGGGGGGGGGGGGACCAGTCTAAACTGCTGGATAAATTAAGGCATTTTTGCGAGGGGGTCATATCATCTTCATTCCATGTTAACGTTCAACTCTCCCTCCTTCCCTTTCCCTTTTCTACATCTGATTGGGGATTGGGGGCACATGCCCACGTACCCCCCGTAGCCACACCGAAGATTATCTGATTCGTGTCATGCGTCTACCCCCGGAAGGGCACACAGTCTCGTGTAGGGGGTTGAAGAGTAACAAGTTGAAGCCTGCTTGCTTGTTTAGGCTCTTTGTATGACAGGTGCCTACGGGAGTCTTTGATGGGAAGGATGTTAACCATTGTCTCTCAAGATCCTGAGTGGGGAAACATGGCTAGAATATCAAGTAGCAGTGGGACAGACAGAGAAGGAGATAAACAGCTTCTATCCATCTGCATTCGGTTGTTTTGTCCAAATGTGCATCTTTTAACTATCATCAGATGAATGTAATGCACTGCTGGTGCTGGAGATGAGGGAATACTCTGGATAGAACCAAACTAACAGTAGTTTGAGAAAACTGTGATGTAAAATGACTAATTGTATCGGTTGTATATATTTCCAAAGATTTTCCCCCTCCTTATTTTCAACTCTTTTGACTTATCAGGTATTCCTATTAACTTTATTTTGTACATGTCGTTATGTGGTTGTTTTATCCAAATGTTTGTACATTGGTAATCTTCATCATCAGTGATGTGTGTTGGTAAGAAGATTAGTATATATTTCTTAAAGGATGCAGGTGATAATTAATTAATAGTAGTAAATAACCCTCCCCCCATAAAAAAATATAAAGAAAAAATAAACTAAAACACACCATGCTTGTTTTAAAAAAAAAGATATTTCATAAGATATATATTCCCAAATTATATTTTGTCCTTCATTTTTCTTTTGTTCAACTCCTTCCTTCAGTCATGAATTGACATCCTACTTTGTTTGTTCCAAATTGACTACAGGGATAATAGTTCATTGAGGTTCTTCCGCATGAATGTGCATTAAGCCATGCTAATTTTCTCTGTATCATTCCAATGCCAGAAATTGTTGACAATTTTCTTGCTTAATTCTCAAAGAAGATGTATATGTAGGCTGTTATATGTACTATTATGCAAAAAATATTAAATTTTTGTCTTCTCCTTTTCTCTTACCTTTTCAGACGGAGCTTTCCCAGGCGCTGACATCATTATCAGAGAAAGCCAAGAGTGCCAAAGACTTCCTGGTGCATCTAAAGAACACAATAGACCAAGTACAGGTAGGGGTGCGTTTATCAACTTTTGCTACTCAGAAACAGTGTTTCTATACATATATCTATAGAAACACAGTATATGAACGTGCTTTGCAGGATTTCTTGTTCATCAACTCGTCACGATACAAAATGAAGGCGATGTTTCTGCGTTGCTGCTTCGCGCTGTTTGACCCGGGAAGCAGAGAGTTGCTTGGAGGTCAACTGTGGCGCAGATGTTCAAAATGTTTAATATTCATTAATTATATAAATGTACAATAATTTTAATGTACATTCTTCTATATATTGACTGACAGCCATACAGGCATAAACCCAACGTAGACTTAACTTCTTCCTTGTTCTTGGCAGGTGGATTTTTAGGGTACAATTCACTGATTTTTGTTTTCCCCTCTCATTTTTTTGACAGGAGAGTAGTGTTGATTTTGAAGCCAGCCTTGTTGCAAAGTTTGATGAGCTCATCAATGTTGTACAGAAACGAAGAGATCAACTAATCCTGCAGGTGAGTCTTTATGTTTTTTTACAAAATATCTTCATTTTGAGAGATGCAGGAGTTCAGGCTTTTAACCATCACACACATTTTTCTTTAAAGCAGATTTCTCTTAAAAAAAATAACCATTTAATTTTGTACTTAATATGATACTCTTTATTAGACAACTACATAACAATTCATTAAATTTTGCTGATTATTTGTTCATATGGATATGAAGCATTAGAAAAGGATGGACATTTGGGAAACCAAATGTTATTGTTTTCCTGACATACACTGTAAATCCCGATTGTGCATATTACTCAGCCATCGCTATTATTTTCATTTAAGATTCACGTTGCAAAACTGATATAAAAGCATTTAGATTAAATTAGATTAGATTAGATTCTGCACCAACATCTGTTTTTGTTTCATTGTCCAATAATACTAGCATAGCAATTAAAAGTGATATATAATACTATTATTCTATGTCTAGTGATAAGTGTGGTCTTCAACAAAGTGCAAAAAAAAGTGTATCTCTAACCTCCAAGCTTAATAATCGTTAAAGATTAATGGACCTTACGCTGCAACAGGGGCATCTAGGTCAGGAGACATGAGTCAGGAGGAGTAATTAGACATTGTAGCGGAAAAGCTAGCAAAAAAATGGGACAAGGTTCTTCAGACGTTTGTACGTCGGGGGGGGGGGGGGGGGGGGCAAGGATGGATGAAGCTGAGCGGAAGATTAGAGTCTGTTGGACTGTGTCTACTGATTCATGCCTTGCATGCCAGTGGAAAATCCTGATGAGCTTTTAAAGAATAGAGGCATGACTCAGAAAGTTGTGTTTAATCATCAATCAGTCCATCCACCCATCAATTCCTCTGGTGCTCGGTGTACGACTGACGATGACGACAGTAGACCTTCATCAATGAAGCCTGTTGGAGGGCTAGCTCAATCAGCAAGCATTGATTGGTGGATACCGTTGCAGAAATTGAGGGGGGAAGTGGCTGACCCCATGAAATAGAATCGTCATACCCTGATCTAGCTTTGCCAATCTTGGGAATGAGGTCTGAAGTCAGGTGCAGCAGTGACTTGCCTTTAAGAGAAGGCTTCTGATTCATGCCATATCCTTCCTCTGGGTTCACCTGCACTTAATGAATACTATATAAGCTGGGGATAAATCAGGATTAATTTTTGAAATGTTCAGTACATTTTTAATCTTATAAGAGTTTAAATACAAGATGAAAATGAGAATAAAGATTGTGATTTTTCCAATTTTGTCATGGTAGGCCTACATATTTTAAATATCCATGTCTTAATTTTTTGTTGTTGTATGAAACAGATGATTAAATTGCATATTAGTCCCGGTTTAATGACTCTGTTGTGAGGCATCAAAGTCATATATTAGCCAACTTTGAACATTGTACCACCAATGAGATTTTATATTTATAGATGATAAGCATGATAGATACTTAATCCAAAATCTTTTATATAAAAGATTCAGCTGAAGTAATTACACAGAGAGTCAGCTTTGAGAATTACATTTCTGTACTAAAAATAGTATTTAGTGGAAATCCAATATCAGTAGAATATGTAAATTGTCCATAACATATTATATCCAACTTAATTACAAAATCCAATTTACCGGTACTGTTTTTTCATTACTGTGTCTGTTAAATGTATTGCTCAAAGAGCTATTTCAGTAAAAATCCAATTTGGAATCCTTGCTATGCAATTTTCGAAAATCTCATCATCGTAAAACCCAATTGCTCCAAAATCTGTCTTTTAGGTTGCTTGTGAAAAATAATGAGTATTATATTGACTGATGCTCATCAGTCATGACTTGACACACATTTTACGAGTTGTAAGGTGAATAAATTCAGAATATCTAATGTTTTACTGTTTGTGATCAGAATACATCACCACAGTGTATATATAAGGCTAGCCAAGAATGCATTATAGCCTTAAAAGCTTTATGATAATCTAACCAGCACTAGAAAATTGATGATGCATTAAGCCATTATTGAAACCTAGAGCATCTTGTCAAAGTATATTTGGATCCGCTTTATCAAATTCCATTAGGAGAAAATTTAGATTTAGTAGGCATCTCTATTTTGTCTTATAGAATCATAAGCTACTAAAGCTAGTATTAGGACGGCAGCAGAAGCCGTTAGGAATTATGCCCCTGACGTGCATGTTTGTCTACAATGATGGCAAGGATGTTTGAACATTTTTGTTAAGATATTACATGTATGTGACATTTCTGTCATTTACAAATTAATGTTACTTGTTATGCCTCCGCCACCGAAGGTGGTGCCGGAGGCATCATGTTTTCGGGTTGTCCGTCCGTACGTCCGTACGTCCGTCCCGTTTGACCGTTATCACAATATCTCAAGAACCATTTAAGATTTAAACTTAAGACTCGGGAATAGTATTTATCACCATAGGAAGACGATCTGATTAGATTTTGGAGTACGTAGGTCAAAGGTCACAGGTCACAGAGGTCAACTTATGAAATTCCTTGTATTGAGTTTGTTAGCGCGATATCTCAAGAACCATTTGAGATTTAAACTTCAAACTTAAGGATAGTATGTATCACCATAGGAAGACGATCTGATTAGATTTTGGAGCACGTATGTCAAAGGTCAAGGGTCACAGAGGTCAACTTATGAAATTCCATACATTGAGATTGTTATCATGATATCTCAAGAACCACTGGAGATTTAAACTTCAAACTTAGTGATAGTGTGTATCACTATAGGAAAACAATCTGATTACATTTTGGAGCACGTAGGTCAAAGGTCAAGGGTCATAGAGGTCAACTTATGAAATTCTATACATTGAGATTGTTATCATGATATCTCAAGAACCACTGGAGATGTAAAAACTTCAAACTTAAGGATAGTATGTATCACCATAGGAAGACGATCTGAATAGATTTTGGAGCACGTAGGTCAAAGGTCGAGGGTCACAGAGGTCAACTTATGAAATTCCATACATTGAGATTGTTATCATAATATCTCAAGAACCACTGGAGATTTAAACTTCAAACTTAATGATAGTGTGTATCACCATAGAAAGACAATCTGATTAGATTTTGGAGCACGTAGGTCAAAGGTCAAGGGTCACAGAGGTCAACTTATGAAATTCCATACATTGAGATCGTTATCGCGATATCTCAAGAACCACTGGAGAATTTTCACTTCAAACTTAATGATAGTATGTATCACCATATCATAATATCTCAAGAACCACTGGAGATTTAAACTTCAAACTTAATGATAGTGTGTATCACCATAGGAAGACAATCTGATTAGATTTTGGAGCACGTAGGTCAAAGGTCAAGGGTCACAGAGGTCAACTTATGAAATTCCATACATTGAGATTGTTATCATGATATCTCAAGAACCACTGGAGATTTAAACTCCAAACTTGTTTAAATTGCTCTATGGCGGAGGCATCATTTTCGACTGCGCGCAGTCAAAATTCCATCTAGTTTTATTTTGTAACAATAAACAAAATTCACCTTGAGGTTGATACATGTGAAGTAGCAACTGAATTCATAAAATGTCATCAATTTCTTTAGGAATCCTTTCAAACATTCTTCTTACATTAACATTGACAATAATACTGCCTTCATGTACATGTATGTTTCTGTTTTTTTTAATAAAAAGTGCTTTTTAAGATATAAAAACTAAAATAATTTATAAAGATTTGGAATGTTCATGGTAGATCAGTCAATTTGCAGATGGAAAACATGACTGTTTAGATCAGTATACAAAGAAAAAGAAAGGAGGAAAAAAATAAAGTAAGGAAATATTTTTTGAGAAATGAAATAAACAATACAAAGATTATAAGTATTGTGGTGATTATGAAATAAAAAAATGAACTGATTGGCCATGGGAAACTTTTAAATTCATCATCTGCTGATAGCCTATCTCATATATTTTACATTGCTTTAAATCATATAATGCCTTTCTATATATGTTCAACAGACAAATATCATGCATTTTACATTCACATGTATTTGCACATGTTGAAACTTTATTCATCCGTTCAGCATTGTGTCATAAAAGAGCAAAACAGACTGTCAAATATCAATTTAATACAGGGGAGGATAGGGTAATATCTCATGCAAGATAATTAAGGTGATTTAGATATTGTATCTCCTAATAGACTGATGGATGTACATGGCATGAGTTAGGCTCCACGAGGTATGAATTAATAAAACTTTTGATAGCTTATTGTCTGGCATGCGCCCACAACTGCGTGAAAGCACACGTCGATGGCGTAACGCTAATGACTCAGCCCCACGTTTCGAGCTGAGTAAGAATGATGCATTTTGTCTCTTCTCAAACAAACTATGCATACTATACATGTGTATAATAGGTTCGTACATGCAAACACTGGAGGAACTGATTATTAGGTTTACTTATGTATTTAGTATGTATTGGCCTTACTTTATGAATGTACTTTGGAGGCTCAGTCTTTATATTTCTTCACCCAGGTGTATTGGGAAAATAAAAAGCAAACGTAGAGTAAAGAAAAGACATATTCCTCTTTCTTTAAAAAAAAAATTATTCTTATGATATCAAACAAGTACTCACCAATAAATTTATTTCCATCATTTACATTGCGTTCAATTGTCACCGTAATAGTGAGGAGGAGGTCTACATTTTAAAGAAATTATTTCTTCATATTCTTTTTTCCTTATGTACACAGTTTATGATACATCTTCATGAGATGTAGACTCAGTAGTCAACAACATGAGCTCTAAAGAAAATATATAAGACATTATTGCTACCTTGGAATTAATGAAATTTAAGCTATGCTTGATCTCTTTTTTTAAAGAAATCATTGCTTTATAGTAATAATAACTTTCCATGTATATTCCTAAGTTGGTGGAAGCTGATAGATTATAGCAATCCACAATTTTCAAACGTGTTGCGAGGCAGACTTTAATGCAAGAGACGGTTGGACCCCACAAAGACATTCACTTCAACATGCAGACAATGTTTTGTCCATGCACCTGCAG